AGTTGGAGGAATGCAGTGGCAAGCATATCGGTGGCTCTGCTTTTTTGGATTGATGGCTGGCTTTATTTCGAAGGCTGCCCTGGGCCTGAGGAAATGCTGGCTTCAGTCCTTCAGGGATACTGCAAAATCTGGCTGAGGGCGACATAAAGAGCTGGCTTACAGACTGCTCGGTTGGATTTCAGCTGCCTCATGTAGAAATGCAGTAGTGCCTCCGTGGTGTAGCGTCTCAGTGGATGGGAACATCTGGTTTTCTGTCTTGTTCCGAAATACATCTGCAAAATCTTGGAACTTTTTCTTTTTTAATCGCTTTGAGATTTTCAGGATCTCTGCTGGTGTTTCTTCTTACTTCTTGATTTGTTTAGCTCAGGCATCATTACCTTGTTCATGTTTCTTTTCTAATTAGCAGGCAGCTGGGAATAGTGTACCACAAAAGTTGTCAAAGAAAAGCCTCTCCTCCCCTCTTCTCTGCTGGCCCTGAAAACAAAGCTTTGTCTTTCTTTAGTTTCTGTTAAATTCTATAAGCTTTGAAGTAAGTGAGGTCTTTTCTGAATCTGTTGTGCTCTTATCCAGGGATATTCTTGGCCTTTCCCATACTTTCAGTCAGCTAAAGTGAGTGAGAGCCTACCTATGGACTGCCCCAGGAAATATTTTGCAACTCCTGATGCCAGCTCTATCAGCCTTTTTGCTTTCCTGCCATAGTGATGAAGAAGCAGCGCTGATAGTCAAGTGTCATCATAAGTCTTCAGAGTTAACACCTCATATGAAGATGACATTTGACATCCATCTGGAAGGTGTCACCCATACCTACGTAGAGATTGATTAAATATTTGGGCAGCATGTGTATTCTTGTGGGTACTAACTTTAGACCCATATTTGGATAGACACCAAGGAGGCACTTTGTGCAGGAAATTCAAAAGCTTGGTAGAAAGCTTTCCCAGGGCGACGGGAGGGTTTCCACGTGGAAAACCTGAAAGTGAACAAAGACCTTCTTCTTATTTATCAAGCTGCTGTGTGGTGGTGACAGGTGAAATGACAAGACATATTGAGCAAAAGGAATTAATTTATATCTGGGACCTTTTAATAAATCAAAAGTAAAAAGAAGAACCAGTGTAGCAGACCCGTTGGCAGTTGCTAACACTTGTTCAATGATCCTTTCCCTCTGAAATACAGAAATGGAAAGTAACTGTTGCCAGGAGTAATAAAATGAAAGAATGACTCAGAAGATAGATTTATTATCAGCTCAGTATTGGTGAAATTCAGCTTCATAAACAGAGGTTAATCTGCTAAAACCTTCTGTGCTCTCACTGGGGGAAAACCCTACTTATTTCAAATTTTGTTTAAAGAACCAAAATAATTCTTCTTGTCTTCTGAATAAATCTACATCTCTAGGGCTGCTAATGTTCATCATTTTTTGCCTCATCCTTGCCCACGTGGATTTTATTTTATTTATTTATTTCCACAGGTTGTCATTTATTATGGGCTCTTCTCATCCCTGCAATGTAATTTCTCTTCTGGACTTCTAGGCATTCTCATCACAGTTCACTACATATTTCACCCATGTTTCTACAGAAAGTCATTATGTAGCACAAGCTGCTGCTGACAAGAATATTTAGAATACACTCTGCCTTTGTCCTCCAGTGCTATGTTTCTCACCTTTGTTGGGTGAATAATATATCTGAGCGAGAAGGACATGGATCTGATGTTACTAGAAAAAGACCTAAGCCCATAGATGGCTGGAATTAGTACTGCTCCTTTCCCCTTCCTCACTATATGGTTGATCAAATTGTAGGAAAATACTTGTCAGTTAAAACTAGCATTAAAAAGCATAATAAAAAGGTCTCAAACTTGAAAAAATTACTTAGAAAATTTTTAAAAAAGGATGTATCCTGTAAGCAAGTACATCAGGCATCTCTGTAAGTGTGTGGTGAGTTCTGTGCTGCCTCCTGCCCAGAGCAGAGGTGGACGGGGGATGTCGGGAGCCAGGACCTGACTCCCTGGGACAGGCAGCATCCCTTCTCGCTCGGTGGGCTTCTCTGTCTTATGCTTGGGGTGGTGGTCGCTTAGGACAGAAGTTACATCATTTGCCTCTTGCTGCTACCCCTCATAAAAGCAATTTAGTAAGTTTGCCAGTAAACTTCAGTATAGGATGTGTTCTGCTGTGAAATCTCTAGGGAGGTTGACACCAAGGCCGTTCATGGTGTTAGACATCAGAAGCTCTATCATGCCATCAAATCCATCCCTTCTGCGGATGTCTCAGGAGCACAGGGCCATCATTTTCATGGCTGCTCTTCAAGAAATGGAATAGACTTACCAGTTAACTTTTAAACCAAAGGTCTTGTCTGAATCCAGTGTCATAAAGGGATTAATTGCTGGTATAATTTAAAAAGCCAGATTTGATGCATAACTTGTAAGACTGAGGCTGAGGAATAATGCAGATGAATTACTTCTGAACTTCACATACTTCATTAAGAGGGATTGCTGGTAGGACTGGTGAGGAGGATCCCTTCTTGGCAGCCCGTGCTCTGCAGAGTGGCTGAGCCAGAGCCTGCACCTTCCTTAGCAGTGCCCAAAGCCTGCCAGAAACACCTCTCTGCCTATTCCAGTGTCTTCAAAGCTTTTCTAAGACTTCAGGCTGTCATAGGAACCTTCAGTGCAGTCTGATACTTAAAAAAAGCCCCAAAAGCCAAAAAGACATGCACATCCATTATTGGTGCTGGTCTTAGAACACCTCTTTCCTCAGTGATTAACTGATAATGTTGTCCTAAGTAGCATTAAGCACATCTGACACTAAATTTAGGTTTCTCTTGTTCTTTCTTCCCCTGCAACTTCTCCACCAGTTTCCATCTACTAATGACATGACTTGATGGTCTGCTGTTTTGGGGCGTTGTGTGGCAGGGTTTTGGTAGCGGGGGAGAGGCCGCAGGGCCGGCCGCTGCTCAAAGCTGGCGGCAGCTTCCGCGGGTGGGAGCCGGCCCCGGCGCTGGCCCAGGCCGAGCCCGTCCGTGAGGGCGGTCGTGCCTCTGGGAGAGCAGAGTGAAGAGGGGAACCTGCAGGGAGTAGGGGATTGGGATGGGAGAGGAACCCCTCTGCGGGTACCGAGGTCAGGGAGGAAGGAGGGGAGGAGGAGCGGGGGAGGAGGGGCTGCCCCCCCAGCCCGTGGGGAGACCAGGCGGCAGGCTGTGTCCCCCCAGCCCAGGGAGGGCAGCCCCCGGGGGAGCAGAGGCCCACCTGCAGCCCGGGGAGAGAGGAGCCCACGCCGGAGCAGGGGGTGGAGGCCCCCCAGCATGGCCGGGACTCCAGGGGGAAGCCCGCGCTGGAGCAGGCTGTGCCTGAAGGACTGCAGCCCGAGGGAAGGACCCACGCTGGAGAAGTCCGTGAAGGACTGTCTCCCGTGGGAGGGACCCCACGGTGGAGAAGGGGACGAGTGAGGAGTCCTCCCCCTGAGGAGGAAGGAGCAGCAGAGACAACGTGTGAGGAACCGACCCCAACCCCCATTCCCCGTCCCCCTGCACCTCTGGAGGGGAGGAGGGAGAGAGAACCGGGAGTGGAGCTGAGGCGGGAAGGAAGGAGGGGTGGGGGGAAGGTGTTCTCAGGTTTGGTTTTAATTCCTAATAGCCTTGTTTTGTTTTGATTTGTAGTAAATTAAATTGATTTTGTTTCTTCCCCAAGTTGAGCCTGTCTTTTGCCCGTGACCATAAGTGGTGAGTGATCCCTCCCTGTCCTTGTCTCAACCCACGAGCCTGCCTTTATATTTTTTCCTCATCCCATCAGGCCACCTGGGGGAGGAGTGAGCGAGCGGCTTTGTGGTGCTTTGTTACTGGCTGGGCTTAAGCCACAACATCTGCAAACTGTCCTTTTTAGTATATCTCAAGCTTGAGATCCACTATATTATTGTGTAACCCAAGATTTAACAATGCTCTATTAGGAGAGGAAAATGTTCTTGGTATATGCATCACAGAAGTGGTGGGAAAGTGCATTTGCTTATTTTGATGCTGGTGCGGTTGTGTGTGTGGTATTGGTGTATTTGTTCCTCTGTGCTTTTGTGTTCAGTGCTCAAATCAGTGAAGGTTTGGATTACACAAATGCGAGCAGGTCTTCCAGTGCTCGGAGGTGTTTCTGTTTTACGGGCCCTATATATGTTTTTACGTGTTGTCCTCATAGTTCTGGTGTTCATTTCAGGAGCAGGATAGATTTCTAAATCACTTAAGGCAGAAATGAGGTTGATGGAAGTCCTTCATGGCAGGGACCATGCGGGAGTGGGGGTGGTACTTCAATGCAGTGGTGGGTGCCATGCCTCTCTGCAGCTCTTTTATATGGAAACACACTTTCTGGTTTCTTAGGACCAAGTAGGAAAACAGCTGATGTTAAACCAGTAGGTAGAGTGGCCAAACCCTTCCTTTCTCCGTGATAAAAGAGGATATACAGGTTGTCTAAGAGCTTCTACTATGTGAGCTTTTGATTGCTTGTTATCCAGAATTTTGGCATAGTGCTGTAAGTGATCTCATTATTAAATTTACCATCTATTTTCTGAACTTGAATGGATTTATTTTAAACTGCCCCCTAGGTTTTCTTCTTTAGCAAGGGCACTGGCAGGAGTTTGAAAAGAGAAGCCGCTTTGTGCAATTGTCAATGGTGATATCCCTGTCTACCAAGGTTTATACAAGTTCACATCACCAGCAGAAAATGATGGTGTCTCTTCTGTTTCTCTGCCAGCTGCAGTCCCAGCAAAAAATTGGCTATGACATTAGGACACTTAAAAAAATCCATCTTTTTTACGTCCCACACGAATTTCTTGGGACAAAGGATTGAGGTGTTGAGCAGGGTTCAGGGAACAATGCCCGAGTGCAAGTTCCTGTTTTCATTTTATGCACAACTTTAATTTTTCTAAGGGTGGAGCATTTGTTATATGCTGAACACAGTTCTGTAGTACAGCCAAATGAATAGATGTGATATTTCATTGCTTCTATTCCTGAGATCCTCTGCTTGCTGTTTTTGTGCAGGAGTTATCTACACAGCAGATATTCTCGACCGGGAGACGACCAAATCCTACTGGTTGACAGTGTATGCGACTGATCATGGTGTCGTCCCACTCTACACTACGATTGAAGTCTACATTGAAGTGGAGGATGTAAATGACAATGCCCCCCTCACCTCTGAACCTATCTATTACCCAGCTGTCATGGAAAACTCCCCGAAGGATGTATCTGTCATTCAGATCCAAGCCCAGGACCCTGACTCCAGCACTAGTGAAAAACTGACTTACCGGATTACAAGTGGAAATCCCCAGAACTTCTTTGTAATCAATCCCAAAACAGGTAACGAAATCCTGCTGCCTTACAGTGGTGGGAATACGCAATTTAAATATTTATCAGCTTTCTCCCCTTCAGGATCTGCTGGTGTTGCATTGCTTTCCAAACCTCTGTTTTCTGGTTGGTTATGTGTCTAAAGTAACTTGTATGTGTCTAAAGCATCCTCTTTTGCATCGGTACATGAACGCGCTGGCAGATGACGTGCTGCAGATGTGCTGCTGCAGCAATTGCTCTTCTGTAGGTCACCAGATAGCTTCTGGCTGTTGCCTCTTCCCTGTGCCTATAGGGATGAGACTTTGCTACACTGAGTCTGCAGAGCAATGCTAGGAACCAGATTCAAGCTGTTGCAATTTATAGAGCGGCATCTTGTCCTTTGTAAGCCGACGTGTCACCGCTGAAGTGAGTGTCATGACAATTGTCCAGCACATGCAGTTAGGCTCCACAGTACAGTAGCTGGATGTAATTCTACAGCTTGTTTTATACAAAAAGACAGTTTAGATAATCTAAAAGTCCCTCTGGCCTTTAAAAAAAAAAAAAAAAAGTCGATGTGTTTGCATTGATTTGTAACAGCTGGGGATGTAGCCTGTGGGTACAGTGTCGCAGATATGGTTTTAAGTTAAAGTGCTGCTGTTATCTGGCCTGGCCCCACTGCGGCGGAGCATTGCGCCTGTGGAGACCGGCTCTGCACATCTCTATGCCCTCAGTGTCTTTGATGAACCAGGCATCCCCGGTGCCTGGTTGATGAAGAAATTGCCCCAGGAGACATATCCTGAGGTTGTGGATGCTCTGCTGGGTGTCTGCCTGTGCTTGGCCTCAGGTGGTCCTTGCTCCAGCATGTACCTGGCCATCCCTTGCTCTTTATTTGGCTGGTGGCACCCTCCAGCATGGTCCGGAGCTAGAGAGTTGAGGGGCTCTTTTGCAGCAATAGGCTACTTTGATAAAGTAGTTCAGAGGATTCACACAGCTCATGCTGGTTGTAATGCTTGTTTTGTTCTGGGCTTTTGATTTTTTTAAAAAAAAAAGTTTATTTATGTCTGCTGCAAATTTGTAAACAGCTAGAAAACCAGAAGGAATAGACCTGAAAGGGACATCTTTAATTTGGTCTAGGAAAATGACATTCACTAAATAGGTTTTCAACATTTGGCTGGGCAATCCTATTGCAATATGTAGCATAAGAAGAGGTCAGGATCTTTTCAGGCATAAGCCCAGGTGAAGAATCATGAAGCATGTATAATCACTGTGTTCAATCTGCCGAGCCCTAAGGCACACATCTCACTTATTTTTAACACTTGAAATGGTCGAAGATGGCTCTTCCATCTGCATCCCTTCTCCCCCTCCCCACCCCTTAAATCCCATCTGGGCAAAGTAGCAGAGTTAGGACTCCGCAGTGTTTAATGCTTGTGCTTCCCTCCCGTCGGGTCCTCCCGCAGAGCAAGCTGCTTGGCACGGCTCCGCTTGTCCACACGGCTTATCCGCACGGGTGAGGCCGTGCTGAGGACCGGAGCCGGGCGCTCTGCAGTTCCGCAGCACCCTAGCCTGGTAGCACACCATGTGGAGCGGCTCTTCCTCCTGCGGGAGCTGTGGGCAGGGATACTTTTCCCTTACAAGGAGATCTTCCTTCTCACAGCTAACACTGGAGATGGTTCGTCTTCATTTTGCGCTGAGGAAATTGCTGTCTGAGAAATTCAAGGCTTCAGGATGAGTAACGTTGCTGCTTGGGCAACCGCCGAAGGTCCCCCGTTGTGTTCGGTTAGCATCCTGGCTGTTGGCTGGCTGGGGATTTGTCATGGAGGGGATAAACCGTCCCCTTCTATCCACCTCAATGCCAAGCGCAGAGCAGTGAGAGCCGGGCAAGGCATCCTCTTTTAATTTGTTTTTGCCTTTGAAAATGATGGGGCTGATAGAGTGTGTGTGCACAGAGGTGCCTTGTCGCGAAAGGGAAGTTTGTCATTTTGAACACAAGGACTTTGTTCTCTGTTGGAAAGAAAGTATCAATGTGTGGTGAGCTCTGCTGCCTGGCCTCAACATCAGGAGGCTTTCTCCCAACGGGATGCTGATGTCTGAGGAATAAAAGCACAATGGATTTTCCTAGAGAGTGCCCCTGGAGGTCTCTGACCAGGCTTCTTTCAGCCATCTCCCTGCAGTGCACTGGTTTCTCTAAACCAGCGTTTTACACTCTGGTTCTTTTATACAGGTGACTTCTGTACATGCAGAAGAGGTTTGTAGAATGCTGGCCCTGTGTGCTTGCTGGGATTCAGCACAGCATTCACTCACGTAGCAGTTTGCACAGCAACCCTAAATGTGGCAGCGTGCTGTATAATCAAGATGAAAAGGTTTAGTGTGAACCCAAATATGCAGCGATTGCCACATACGTGAGTTGAGTGAGCGTGTTCTGGCCGTTGGGGGAGAGCAGTCATTTGTGAGAAAGAGGATCTTTTATTTTCTGTGTCACTTTGAAAGTTTAAACAGTGCCAACAAACTGACATCTCGTTCCTGTGACTAACCAGATGCTAAGAGGCAACACGAAGGCAGCATCCCACATTTTTTACATCCTTTCACGGGAGGTGGCAGGAATTGTCCTCAACTGGAGATGGGGAGTCAGCTGGAGCGTGCGGATGCTCTTAGGGTACTAAGAAGTTTCTCCAGTCCGCAACTGATTGGGCTTTGCTAAAGTGCTCAGGGTTAAACCTCTCACTAGGTTTCCAGCCAGAAATGAGTATCCCTAAGCCCAGATTATTTAGAGGCTCAGGAAAACAGGTAAGAGAGAGGGGTTTGTCTTTCTCCACTGCAGAGGAGCATGGATCATGGTTCACAGATCACTTCCTTAGATCACCTGGCTATATTGCAGCAAGATATCTCCCACTATTGCTGGAGAATAAGGCATTACTAACCTTGGCCTCCTGTGCCCTCTTATTTTTAGGACTTGGTGCTTTGTACCAACAAAGTTGGGTTTATTACAAAGTGCAGAGAGTGCACAGGGCATGTCATAGCTTATGGTGTGTGTCTGGTGCGTGGGTGGGTGGTGTTTCAGACGTTTTTGCCTTGACTCCAGAAAATGCGGTTATCTGCAGCCTGGGTGAGGTGGGTAACCCCATCTTCTTTTTGGATGGTCCTTGCCATCACAAAGAGGAATGCCCTGGGTGTTGCTGCACCCTGCTCATGGCATGTTCCCCTCCGCCTTTGCACAGCCTCATGCTCCTCAGTGGTCGTTGGAGCTCAGCAATGTCTGTGTTTGCCTTCCTCTGGAGCTCGCTTTCAGACGCTTTATAGCTCATGCAGGTCATGCAGATTTCTGGAGGCACATGTACTGCTGCATATGTTGCCGTCTGATCAAGGCACCAAGCGGGGACATAGGGAGTCCAGGTTTTATTCCCGGTTCACATACAGGACAAGAACTGCAGCCAAATCTTACAATCTTAATTTATTATCTGGATAGTGGAAGGAATGATACTCCTTGTATGCTGTGACTGTAGGTAGAAGAAACATTTTAGTAGACAACCTGTCACTTCCTACATTTTTATAGACTGGCACAGCTCTGGGTGGCTATTTTAGGTACTGTCAAACTGCAAATACATCACATGGATTTGGGTCTGTTTGAAGGCAGTCTTCAGACCTTTCAGGATTATCACCTGCAATTTGCTCTATAGATTTCAGAGAGAGGAAGAGTTGCTCCTGCAGGAGTCAAGGGCTGCTAAAAAGCTGCTGAGAGCAAGATTTTGGCACTGAAGTCACCCTGGGCAACCCATGCTCTCGCCAGGGGCTGGCTCTGCTGCGGCAGCGCAAGTGCCCATGGGTGGCGGGGGTTCTGCGGGTTTAGGGTTTATATGGGTGCTCCAGGGAACATGAGCGCAGCTGGATGGGTATGCAAAGGCAGTGTGAGCAACCTCCCGTGAAGGTCTTTGTTTTCTCACCTGGATTATTTTTTCTAACATACAGCTGAGCATCACCCTACACCTCAGCATGCACTTCTGTCTCATGAGCTGATATTCAATACGTACAAGCACTAAGTGAATAATGTAGCCCATGAGTACATGTGAAACCATAAATCACTGGTGCTTGAGAACAAGGCAGCCTTGTTCTGCAAACTGGTGGAGACTGCTGCCTAAATTTAGCAGGTCCAAGAGAGCAAATCGGGATTTTTCTTTATAGTGGGCAAGAGGTATTGCAAGGCACAGTTTTGTGAGGGGGGGTAGGTAACTTGTTTTTCGAATAGCTGAAGCGACTCACTAGGTTACGTGACCGCAGGGAAGGGCATCCCCTGCGCAGGGTTTCCCAGCCACGTCACGCACCCAGCAGCAATGGAAGTGTTCCCAGTGCTTGGCACCTCCAGCAGCCACGGGTCAGCCTAAACCCTGGTGTGGCTGCTGGGGGAGCCAGGAGTTTCCCTCTTAGCCTGACTTTTATGCTGGGGAGGGTTCAGGCTTGCTTTGGTGAAGCACAGGGTCACAGGACTTTGCTCCTTGGCGGGTGGTGTGAGATGGGGCTGAGAAGGAGGAAGAGGAGGAAGACAGAGCTGCTGGTGCGGTGGCTGGGCTGGTTGGCTCCCAGCCGAGCCCATGGAAGTGCCATGGCCTCCCCAAGCTGAGTGAGTTATTTTGGGGTGAGAGGCCTGTGGAAGAAGGTAAATAAAACAGATAATGGAGTTAATTAAAAGAAATTGATTGATTAGGGTCATAAATTCTTATTTTTATTTCATGTATATGGGTGTTAATTTCACAGCACAGCACAGGGGTAATTTACTGCATTGATTTATTACTTTTCTGTGCTCCAAAGAAAACAATGAATTTTAATTCAAACCATTACATTATTTTGTTCACTGTTGCACACATACTGGACAAACCCAATAAGCTTCTCTTCAGTCTTATGTAGATTAGATTAAGAGATACTTTAACTAACATGCCAACAGACCAAATTTCACTCTCTTGCACATTGATGTTAATGAATGTACTCTAAAATTATGCTGGTGTGTCTGAAAAATTTGGTTACACCTTGCTTAGTCTCTTGCT